TGTTGGATCGTGTCCAGACGGATTAGCGTATGGAACAGGCGCACATCGGCCTCCGTCACGCCATTGCCGACCAAATATCTCTTCCTTCCTAGTAGGTCGTCTAACTGGCTTAGCCCGTCGTAGATCTTGACTTCGGCCTCGGTAGTAGCACCTGGAGTCGGGGCGTACATTTTCTTGAAAAGCCCCAAGCCAATCTGAGAAACAATACCGTCGTTTACAGTGTCAATTTCCGCTCGCAGCTCTTCGGGATACAAGTGGACATCTGACGGCACGAGTTCACGGAAAGCAGAGTCCAAATTGCGGAGAATGCCGGTGGACTCCTCCGATACGATTGTGCCCTTTTTCTTATCCCAGAGAACGGGCACCGAAAACGTTCGAGGGGCTAAATCCACCTTCTCGTACAGGTCGCGCACATACTTCACGTTGTTTACCGTGTCTGGTACGCACCCATCTGATGGGTACGTCTTGCCGTTGGCACCAGCCATCGTGGACGACGTCGCAGGGTCCACGAAGGTCCAGCCCTTGTGTTCGTCGCTAAGGTCATTGGGCTTGGTCTTTTGGAAGATAGGGTGCGCCACAGATATACCTATAACGTCCTCGAGACCGAGCAGGTTGCGCGCCGAGAGCGCACGGCAGGCAAATGGACACGAGTAGGTAACGTAGAGATGATAGCGGCCCTTCTCGGCCGGAAATTGGGCGTCGGTATTGGACTCGATCATGAAATTGTACGGGGTGGGCTTGGTAGCTGCCATCGTACTGAGCAAAGGGATTTTGAGTTGACTTGAGTTCTTGGAGGCGAATTGTAGAATGAGTTTGGTCGCGATCAATGGCAAATGCTTGCAACAGCGGCGGGCTCAGCTGTACTGGGCAAACGATTGCATTTGCTTTGGTGGTCATCGAGTCAGCTGCCTCTTTCTCCCCATGATGCATTAATTCCAGCTTAAATCATTCTCAAAGTCAGTGTAAACTCTCCCACGAATAATCTCTTGCACAACCTGCATGATAATCGCGGCATAACAGCATCATTTTGGACGAGCTAAGAAAGGCGACGCTGTGTCGTACGTACAACGAGATATTCGAACTCTTCAACCCAAGATCAAAGCTTTATTGGATTTCTTTACCCACCACCACCACTACCATTTTAATAGGCATGGCAGTATTCACTAAGGTCGTCATCATCGAGCTGACGCGTGCGTTAGAGTTTCGTGATCATTCAAAAAATATGTATATGTAATACGGAACGGTTCCGGTACTGTGTGATAATGGATGTTGCCAC